AGAGGAATTGAAAAATGAACATTCGTAGTGTTTCTGAAATACTTATTCTTTTTGAGTTTGATCAGCTGTTGTTTCATCGCCGCATTTCTTCTCTCCACTAATATAGAGAACTTCTGTCGGGACTCACGGCCAGTGCTATAGCATACACCATTGCCAGCCATAGGGGGAACTTGGCTGGTAGTCGCTAGAAGTGCTAATACAGCTAGCAACTTTTTCATTCTTCTCTATTTTGGGCTTCTCTCATTCACATGATTCTTAGCGGGCTTCTGAAGACCAACATCGTCGTCAATCTTATGAAAGATGAGGATCATTTTTTCACTTTCTGTTCAACACTATAGTATACAAAAAGAAGCCCACTGTGCTGGTTTAAGTGGAGAACAGCAAAATACCCACTGATTTAGGTGGATATCACTAAAAAAGTCTGTATGTTTTATTCGTCATATCCTCGGCATCAGTGAGGGTAATTCATGTCAGTGATTTTTTTGTCGTGCTCCTGCAAGCCGGGGCATCTGCATTAGGCTTTTGGATCTTGGGCTGCATACCTTCAATTAGTACCCACTGTCTATTGATATGTACGTACTATCTGTAAGTATGGTAATGGTGGGAAATATGGATTTGGACAGTTTCAGGGGTTTTATTAGAATCTAGTCTGTTGAGGCGTACGTCTATTTGTGACGAGTAAAACAACCAGGAGCTAATCTGAGGTGACCACTTTCTGCTGACGATAAACCCGCCTCTGCTAACACTCTTTTTTTTCAGCGCCGAGCAAAATCATTTTACCATCTTTCAAGTGGCATCCGATTTGTTCGGCTTGTGTAAAGTACGATTGCAAAAGCAATAATATTTAGAAAGAAGACTTGTGAGAAACCTACTTCTAGCATATTTTTGCTGACTATATTAGTATCAAAATAAATGATACTTGTACGGAAAATTTTGAATCTCTCACTGGAAAGCTATTATCCAAAAAAGAACTACCTCCTCAACGAATTTCTGGATATTTCTTACCGTAAAGGGACTTTAAAGTTCCTTGCCACTTCGCGGAGATGCTATTTTCCAGTTGCTTTTTATACAAGTCCCGAGCGGACGAATCATCGGCACTGCCAAAGGATGTTTGTTCTTAGAAGTTGGAACTCCTTTGAATGCCACTGTTTCGCAAAAAAGTGAATTTGAAGTTTTTTTTTGTCACAACTCGAAAACTTTTAAGTTTTATTTGTTATAATAAACTAAAACTACCAATACACCCTTTTAAGAAAAGAAGCATTTTTGATATACATATAGTACAAAATTGTAAAAGTGTACATCTTTTAAGA